GTTCCGAGCCAACGCCATCTTGAACGTCAACTCTGGGTTCTTCTCCACCACACGGCTCACCATCTTGTGCAGCGCCCGAGCCATCACCGAAGCATCGGGTATGGTCACTCCGAGCTCGACCGCTCGAAGCCTCCACCTCATCCACCGCCTCAAGTAGATCACCGCCATGGCCAGATTGGTCGCCTCCTGCGGGCTTTCCAGGCTCTGGAGAATGACGCTCTTCTCCACCAACCCACCCGGCTGATAGGTCGCCATGAGCTTGCACACAATGGCGTAGCACGTCATGCTCTTCGTGGCCACGATCTCCTCCTTCGCCCCCTCCGGTAGTGCCGTGAGCAAAAGGCCAACCGCCCTCCGCTCTAGACGACGCCATCGAGGTTCGCGAAGCTCCTCAGGATCTCTCAGGAGCATCTTCAGCCGCTCCAAAGGCGCGGTGTTCTGGTACTTCAGGTACCAGCCCTTCGCCGATTCCATGACCTTCCCCCACCACGTCTGGGACGAGTCACTCAGGTCCGCCATGATGGGCTCCAGAAGGCACAGCCAATCGCCCAGATCAATCGGGGCACTCTCCGGTTTGTACTCCGGCAACTTCGGCAATTCCACATTTCCGGCTTTGACCACTTCGCTGGTGTCCTCGGCCGGATTCTTCTGCTGCTTCATCAGCTGCTGCTGCATTTCCTGCATGTTCTGGACGATCTTCAACATCACGCCCAACGGCTGGTTCTGCGCCATTGCGTCCTCCTGATCCGCCACAAGCTCCTGCGAGGGCTCTCCATCCAAGACCGCGTTCTGCAATCGAAGCTGATCACCTCCTCCGACTGGCGTGCCTTTCTCCTCCGGGGTTGCGAACTTGTCGCTCTGGTCAGCTGACGTTCTTCCCGCAGCCGGTGCTTCTCGTTGGATCTCATCCACCCTTCTCACACACCGCTGCATCTCCTTGCGAAGGGACTGATTGTCCGCCATCAGCTGCATCATGAAGTACTTGATGTCCTTCAAGGGATCAGGCCATTGGGCTTGTCCCGCACCTCCATGATGTCCATCAGGCCGACCGTTCCCTTGATCAACTCCCGCACCTCCTTGGTGATCTCCAGGCCTCCGTAGCTCGTGTCGTTGATCGCCTTGCGCTCCTTCACGTGCCACGATCATGCCCTCGTTGGCCCTCTCGAGGTAGTTCTCGAACCCTCGCTGATTCCCACCTCCTGGCCCCTGGCTGATCAGCGGTGCCTCCTCTGTCCATTCGTCGAGCCGCTTCATCTGCTCCGGCGTGAACAGCGCACCTCGCGAGGGCACCAAAGCCGATGGCTCCCCCTCAGGCCCTCCAGGCCACCCCATCTGGCCTGACAACCATGGTGGGCTCTGGCTCCACCACCTCAACGATCAACGGCCCCGATCTGCTGCTGCTCGATCCCTTGCCGTTGCCCTCGCCCATCTCCTCCAATGATCTGGCCCTTCTGGTTCTCCCGGGGCCAGAGCCATCAGACATTGCGGCGCTGTCGCAGCCACCTAATGTGGCGTTGGGCTCATAACCTACGTGTGAGCAGCCAGCTCATGCGGTGCTTTTCCTTTGCACCTTGATGTCAAAACGGCTTCACATGCCTAGCAATCTTCTCTGTATCAAAAGGAGCACGTCGGATTTGTGCGTGTCATCCTTGCAAAGGGGCCATGACTAGGGTCCCCTCTCGTGAAAAGTTCCCATCATGCATGGCCAACTCAAAGTGATGAGGGATAATTACTTTCACCGGTGTCTCTCAGTTTGCTTGAACTATTCATGGTTGTTGTTGCTTATTGTGGTTTATTGGTTGAAATTCCCACTTAACTGCTAGAATTTGAGTTGTTGCTCCCTTTCCAACGTCAACCAAGTATTGTGACTCACCCTTCGCGAACTGACCTTTTTTTGCGTGTCACAGGTTCCGTAAGACGAGCTTCTCCCAACGACCCGCCAAAATCTGGCGGGGTACGACAGCAAGGGCACCACTCTGGGACCTTAGCTGTGTTTGGCCCAGAGGGCTTCCATTTGGTTAAGAATATGTTTTTACTTTCCCCTGTTGGTTTTAAACGGAATCTATCACTGCTGGAAATGTTTTCATTTTTTCCCAGGGGACTTAAGAAAATGGAGGGTGGCTGTGAACTTTACTAGGGAACCGTCTCAAAAGTGGTTGATGGACATGAATCCCCACCGAAGATTGATGTCAAGCAAAGGGTCCCTAATTGTTGTGTTTTCCTATGAGTGTATTTTTTCTTGAGGTTGCCACTTTCAGCTGGGCTTAAACACAAGCCACTGCAGCGTTTGCTTGCGGTCAGGCAAGTGGCATCTTCTTGGTTCTTGAAGCTTTTGTGCGGAGTTCCTTTGCGAACGGTTTGGATGCGTGTTTTGCGGGTTCCTTTTTGTGGATGCCATTCACATGCCCTGATGCTTAGTAAAAACAGGAAAGCGGTGAGAAGGAGAGAGCCAGAAGTCCCTGTGCTCTTTTGGTCTTTGCTTTTCAGTGGTTTGAGGCCCAGCGGTGGTCCAAACGATTGCATCCAATGGATTGAGTCACAATCTGGCTTTGGACCGTAGTGACAAGCACAACCCAGACCCGCAGTGGGTTGCAAGTGCCTTTGTTCAACTCTTTTTTCAACCACCGAAAAAATGGACGGTTTGTCTCCCCATAGCCACTGGGGGTTTGGGACAACTTCTGGTAGCTGCTTCTGACCAATCCACCTCGTGAGTTGAAGGATCTATGGACTGAGGCACCATGATCCTGAACGGTGCGGGTGTGCCATTTACAGCGCGGAGACTCAGAGCGCAGCTGACAATCTGATTGGTGCTGTGGTTGACTTCCATGGTAAGTGGGTTATAACAATGATGGTGCTTGAAAGGGCAAGGTACTTGGTAATTATGTCAGTAGCAACGATGTTTGACAGCCATGGTAAGCGGGCTACAACAATGCTTACTCACCACGTTTACCGCTTTCCACCTTGCCTCTTTAAATGGTCTACAGTTGGCTTGGGCGAAACCAGGAAAAAACGTCATGTAGATCCCAAATGAACAAATGGCTACTTACTATAGAGGTAACTAAAACACTGAGTTAGACTAGATGAACCAATCGGCGAGTGGAAAACTCATGTTGGACTCGAGGAAACCACTTGAACCTGACGGTTGCTCCTTTCGGCCGTTTTGGCTGCCCTTGCCATGGTTAGTGGAGGTCTGGGTAGCTAGCCACACGGTATGACCTAGAGGTAAACATGCCGAGGGTAGTGGCGAAACGCCTAGAAGGACTGGGGTGGTTTTGCTTTCTCTATCAATCTTTCACCCTTCCTATTGTCCGGAAGTGCCTAGTGCCCGTTTTTCTGCCCAGTGCCCATCGTTTCGGAATGGAAAAGCAGCCCTACAGGCATATTACCTGGGATCCACTGGGGTCAACCAGATTTTGGTAGGGATTTATTGGTGTTTTCCACTTGAAAAAGATAGGGGTCCACTTTTACAAGTGGTATAAAACTGTTGTCTTTTTGATAGGGATCCACTGGGGTCAACCACTTGTGTGGGTCCGGCATCGTGACTGTGATCATATCCCTCGCTAAGAGCAGCACACGGCGAAGCAGCAACATGCATGCGGTAGGGGGAACTCTTGGGGCGATAGGTTCAGTACAGGCGGGATTCGGTACGTCACATGGGGACTTACCATCTCTTTGCTGGAATTTGCAGGGAGGGGAATGACTGGGAGCTAGCGGGAACGTTTCTGAATGGCCAAAACCCACCCGAGCCATGGTTGCAAGTGCTCTTAGGCCAGTGACAGTGTTGCAATCTCAACATTCAAACTTCCCGATCGCCGGAGAAGTCTGGAGAGCAGACAGAATTCATATTGTGCAAGATTTGATGTCCACAGAGTCCCCTTAATATTCACATGTTGTGAGCAGTCTTCTTTGTGGAGCCCTTGATAAAGAAGAGGTGTCCTCTTCAACTGGAGATCCTGTACCTTTTGCTGTGGCATGCGGTTGGTGTGGGGTCGCGATAGTTCCCTCTTCGGTGGTTTAAACATCACCTGTTAGGCTCATTAAGGTGTTGGTCTCACTCTGGCAGGTACAAAAGGACATCACCCTTCACGGATCCATGTTTCTGGAAAAGTTAAATGACGTGAGTTTTAGCCGGAGCTTCATGTCTTGCCAAAACTGTTGATTCCGCCAAAGAGTTGCCCATCCCCGCAAAGAAGAGCATGCGCAGCCTCTTGTCACCTCAAACAAACCGCCTGCTTTAGGGACCCTACACGTCCCCACCAGGGCATGGGTAATTCTCATGAATGGACAGAATACGTTGCCCTAACCAGGCCTCCCATGCCTATTGCTTGGAGCACCAGCCCGGCTAAAGTTTGTTGGGTTGTGGGCGGGGGGGAATCCTAGAGGACTTAACTTTTTAGGGTCAATCAGCACATCAAGTTGAATTTCAAGTTAAATAGGATTCCAACTTATTGCAGTGAGAACTTGTCAGCCCAAGAGCCCAATTGGGGGCATCTTCAAGTGGCTTCTTTTTGGGGTTGCTCCCTGACTTGCGTGGGGCTCCGAGAGGACGCTAAGCACGGCAGGTGGTTGCAGCTGCTGAGAAGAGCGCGCCGACTCGATTGGAGGACAGGCCCGCTCCTTTTCAAGCATGTGCTTGAGTCGAGCATTTCCAGACGCGGTGTATTTGCACGTGCTTGAACCCCCCAACATCAACCCCGGATGGCAGTGTGACAGAGGTATCTCTTGCCAGTTCTGATGCTTGTCATTCAGTTGCAATCACAATAAAGGCAACTGTAAGTCTTTGGGCATACACTGCGGAGTGCACCTGAACGCAGCACTGGAGAACACACCATTTGACGGGCCCTTCTGGACCTCAGTTGCCCAAAGCCAGCCTTTTGACCTTTTTGGTGTCCCCATTTTGGTCCATAAAGGTGTCAAACGGTGCTCGCCTTGTGTTTTTGGGTGCAAACTGGGCAACTGAGGGAAAGACTGCCGAGAACTCGCCGGAACCGCTCCTTCCCATGCCCTGGCTCAGCGCATGCCGACCAGTCGGAGTGCTGGCCGGCCAGCGGCACTCAGCGTTTGTGGCGCGCAGGTCCGCGGACTCGTTGCAGCGCGGATTCCAGCGGCTGCGAGCATTGCAAGGTAGCTCGGATGAGCGGAGGTGAGCAATTGGCGATTCAACAGTGTGCGAATATATTAGTTTGTTTCAGGAGGACAAGAAGAGAGCAATTCCAAACTTCCACAATGTTTGCCATTTAGGCAAATATGGTGATTGCCCAAAATGACCATGGTTCAGGTAGCATGCTGTTCGATTTGGGCAAGATGTTCGGTTTTGAAATCAAACAAGCCTTGGTAATGTGACTGGCTGTCATCGTGTTTGGCCGGGTTGAGAAGGGGTCACATTGTGTTGCAGTTGGAATATCTCTGGGTTGTCATATTCAGCGCGAAGCGAGGCAAGTTGGAATGGCCGCGGTTGACGCACTTTTCAGCCTTTGGTCAGCAGTACGAGCTGCCCTTGTCAAAAGAGGAGACAAGATTGAGCGCCACCGTGTCAGAAGCGACCCTTCAGTATTTGAGCGGCTTTTTTGATGGTGACGGTTGTGTCAGCCTTCCGAGGAGCAGCAGAACTTGCTCGCTGATTGTTGGGCAGGTGGCATCAAATGCAGAGGTGCTGATGCGTTTCAGAGACGTTTTTGGAGGAGCCATTTATCGTGCAAGCAACGGACAAGGCTTGCGCAGGCCGACAATTCAATGGACAATATCTGGCCCGGAAGGGCAGAAGGCTGCAGCAGCTTTGGCACGAGCATCGATTGTGAAGTCCGAGCAGTTGCTTATCGCTCTCAAGTGGCCGTCCTCTTACGAGTCTCGGATTTCCGCGTGCCAGGAGCTTAAGAGGCTAAAGATGAGCAGACTTGGTCCTCGCGATGTCCATTGTACTTGGGCGTATGTTGCAGGTTTCTTCGACGCAGAAGGCTGTATTCGACTCCGGGCGAGTGGTGCACATACTCTGGAAATGGGGCAGAGACATGATGACGTGTTGCCTAAAATACGGCGCTTATTGCAGGAGGTTTGCAGTTCAGAGCTTGTTGTCAGGAGGACTTCCACGGGATTCAACCTACTTTCAGTTAACGCACGGGATGATGTGATTGTCGTGCTGAGGCGGTTGTTGTCTTCCGGCCTTCTGCAAAAGAAAGACCAAGCAGACGCGGTCCTCACGCTTCAGCACACCTCTCACAGGCATGTCCGCGACTCATTGGCAGCCGTCAAGGGGAACCAGATGCGGTATGCGCGCCTGGATTTCGAAGGCTGTGAGCGAGCGCGAGCCATTACCGCTGTGCGCAAACGCTTGTGGTGGTTGCAGTCGCAGGGAAAAGTGGATAAAGCTTTGGAAGAGCAACTTGACAAACTGCGGCAAGAGCATGGCATTCTGAATCTGAGGAGGGCATACTGCCTGCTGCGGGCAGATATTCGCATGGGTTTAGCAACAGGAGCGCTGATAACTTCTCACACATGATGCCGATTGGACTCGAAGAAGTCTGCAAACCTGCATCTTGAGCGGTTTTCGCTTTCCCCGGCTTACATTAAAAGCAACGTCGGAATGCAGGATCCAAGGGATTCTGCGCGTGGCCCGAGGTAGTTTGACAGACCAAGCTAGACTCCCAGGAAGCTCCCTCCAACACTTCTAGCTTATGGGTTGAAAATGTTCCAGTGGAGCCTCACAAAGCCTGAGCTGACATCAACCCTTGAACATGGGGTTACGTGCTGCAATTTGGCATCAACTGATGTCCCATGCCACTGGTCGTTTTTCGACCATCGAATGTTTATCTCCCTGTTGGCAAGGAGTGAGCCAATCAAACAATAGCGGGCTACACCGGCACATCGGTTCGGAGGGCTCAAAATGAGTTACTTGTGTCTCGTCTGTCTCAAAGTGACCCAGGTTCCTGGCCCCAGCACTTTACCCTCAAAGTCACAGCCCCGTTCAGTGGTAGGGTGATAAAAAGGAAGACAGCCCCAGCTACTGACTTTGATAACCCAGACACCTTCTGACCTTTTGGTTATAACCTGTTTTGGCCGAATATGTTTTTTTGGCCAAGAGGCCCAAAGTGATATCGCCGTTTATTTCAGGGTTCAAAGTGGGCAACTGAGATGCCCCATATCCGAGCGCGGGGCCCAGCGACGGAAAGCTGCGCAGGAGGAGATGTTTCTGAAGTTCACGGACTGGCCAAGACCAGGCGGGGAAAAAGGGGGTCAGGAGGGAGCTTCCTCCAGGCTCCAGCCCAGAATGTTAACCCCAGATCTTTGTGACTCCCAGCCATCCGGTTCCTTAACTTTTTAGATCCTTTTAGCGTTCAGTGGTAGTTAAACTTTTAGCGGGGATCTGAGGGCAGCCCAGAGGTAAATCGACCTCAGTTTATTTATTAATTAATCAGGGGGTGTCCGTGTGGGGAATCAGACAATTTTGCAGGCGCCCCCCACCCGCGTAGTATCCACTTTAGCAGGAAAACTCAGGGAATATTGCCTGCAGGCCCAGGAAAATAGCGCGCCAGACTGGTTTCCAGTGAGATTCTGCGATGAGTCGTTTGATTCAAATGGGGTTCACACAAGACCCGACAAGTTCGCAAGGGTGGGGAGGTAGTCCTAACCCAAGCCGAACATCCCTTGTCTCTTTTGGGTGTCTTCCCGGAAAGGCGGTTGAATGAGTCTCAAATGGGTTGGTCTTTGAGATACGAAGCCTTCAAGTTCAAATTGGTGTGCCCTTTTTGATGGTACCCTTTTTGGAGTGGTTTCAACGGGAACCCAAAAGGACACACCCAAATTGGTGTCATTCCCATTGAATTCTATTTGGACCGCCCTAAGAGGAGCGTCAGAGTGCGAAACTGTGAAAACTCTCACAGCTCAAAAAATTTGGGGAGCTGTTGGAACATGGAATCCAGTTTTACTTCTTGAGGTTTTCATGAAGGAACCTGGATATAGAATGGGGTATGATGTAGAGTGTTTTTACCCCCAAAGTTCCGATACACCGGTTGGTGTTTGGCTGCTTGCTTTTGAGTTGAAAGGGAAACTCCCCCAAGAAGCAGAAGCAGTTGTCCAAGCATAGATCCCAAATGGGGCAAGATGTTCTTAAACAACCCCTCAAAAGGCCTGAATCAAAGACGGTGAAACAAGGGGTTGTCCCATCTTGCAACACGTCATCCTTTGAGCGAACTTTTAAGGCCCTTCCATGCAAGCGCGAGACGCGGTACCTGATTTGTCCCGAACTGATGTCGGGGCCAAAAACCCTGCCTTCTTTGGTGTGCCGCTCAAAAAGTCGGGACTCCAAGCGAAGTTTTGAGTTGCACGCACGCGCTTCACTCTGGACTTTCATCCCCAGGTCGCGAAACCCAATTTGACGGCGGAGCTCAAAGCTTTTTGGGATGGGCGAGAGCACAATGAGCCGCTCCCAGTTATTGCCTTTGCTTCTCAAGAAGGGTTTTGCATGCACAGATCAAGTCTGCTGACCTGCCAGCCGTGGAGGGTCATTTGGAGCAGCCCTGATGTTGACATGGAAACCAGAAAGCTAAACCGCGGCCAACGCCCCAGGCTGCCTAAAGATTTAGAGGAACCCTCGGCTGTGGTTTGTTTCCCGCAATCCAGACAATTCCCAACCTTTTTCCTTTTTTGGGGAATGTTTGAACCCAGTCCGCCAATGGTGCCCCGCGTTTTCCACTTTTGTTGCACCCTTTATAGTACCAAACAAAAAAGACTTTGGCGTGCCCCATTTCAAGGTATGGACATTTCTTGAATTGTTTGAACTCCACCGCGGAGAATAATAAAACAACAACCACGAAAAAAAGAAAAAGAAAAAAGGATGCCCCTGCTTTCCCCCAGGGAAATCCACGCGAAAATTTCGGTCGCGTGCCGCCCAGCCGCCTGCCCGCTCAGCCGCCGTCTTCAAGGGCCAAGCGCCTGCGTGGGGCAGCTCAGGCTCGTTCTGGCAGGTGGCTCGATTTCCCCCGGGACATTGGTGTTGTTTGAAGGGAAGCCAAAAGGAAAGCCACCCTTTTTTTTGTTTGGGGGGGTCCCCGCAAACACACACGGAAATTCAAGGGAGCCGGCCGAATTTTCAGACATGCCGGAATGTGGATCTTGGAGGGTACCCGTTTGTCCTCGGCTGAAATGGAATCCAAAATGACAACCGCGTTTCATGGGTCTTACGTGGTTGCGCTTAAATGATAGTAGCAAAAGATGTCAACCCGAGGGTTAAAATGTTCATTGACCAAGTCAAAGTAGGCGTTCCAAGTTCATGGACTTTATGCCTGGGTTTGGACCAGTTGAGTTGTAAACAAAAGTTTGTTTGCTTTGCTTGGCTAATTCACTCGATCGGAAGTGAGAGAACTCCTGGAATCCTTTCTTCCACACCCCGGCCACGGCGCTCGCGGTGTTTAAGAGACGAGGGCATTTGCCGGAACGAGCGATATTGAGGAGATCGGCTCTGCTTTTGTCATATGGGTGCCAAGGCTTCCCCGCTTGCAGTCTGTGAATATATATATATATATATACACATGCACGTGTATGCACATGTATGCACATGTTTTTTATGCAAACGTCTCAAAATGTGTGCATGCTTGTTTATATATATATATACACATCTAGGTCCCCCAGTAGTGCCCTTTTACCCTTTTTGGGGGAGGGTTCCCCTACTAAAATAGACTACAGAAAAAAGTTGGTACCCTTATTCCAACCTCTCTACTGGAGGACCTAGATACACAGTCGGTGCGACGCATGTTAGGTAAAAGAGGTTGCCGCCGTCTCGCCGCCTTGAGGATGACGGTGAAGCTGACGACCTTCCAAGATGGCAGTGCAGTGCTCTGCGTGCGCGGGCCCCGATCAATGGGGAGGGGTTGTCCCTTGGCCTGCCCCATAGGTGAGCCAACTGGACTCAGCTACGCCGCAAAGCAAGGTTCAGGAGACATGAAGCAACCGAGGTCACTTTGGGTTTCCACCTTCAAACTGGGTTAGCACGAACCACTTCACAGACCTGAGTTTAGAATGGGCATCAAGAAGGGAGCCCCCCCGGACCGGATTTCGCAAGAACATGCAAAAGCAAAAGCCGCTCGATTTCGGGGCCGGGGGCGAACAATAAGGCCGCGCGGTGTCAGCCTCCCCAAAACTTCACCACTTTCAACATCACCTCGTTCAACTGTCACCTTTTGGGGGGATGTGCAGTGTTGACCCCATATTAGTCAACCCCAGTTTATTAATAGAGGGGTGTCCGTTGGTGTAGTGGGAATCAGACCACTTTTGGAGGGGCCAAAAACCACCACCCCGAGTTGAAACACCTGATCGGTCGATGAATATGAGTTCAACATTAAGCCAGCCAGGTATGTTTCTTAAACATGCAGTGGGACCCTTTGGGCTGTGTCTTTTTGGGAAGTCCTTTGGGCACCCGGCGCCCTTTTCTCTCAGGGGGGTTTGGGGGGGCTGCCGTTTCTCAGGTGCCGGTCCCACATGATGTTCGACGGCGGCAGCTCCTGGGCCTTCCTGAACTACTGGTCGGGGGGCCCGGCCCAGTCGCGTCACTCGTTGCGGCTCGTTGCGGCTCGTTGCGGCTCGTTGCATCCCGGTCCCACGTGGTGCGCAGGTTTAAGAAAAATTCCTGGCGGACCGAAGGTTAACCCCATGTATATATATATATATATACATATGTGTATATATATATATATATATGTATACATATATATATATATATATATATACACATACAAAACTTGATGGTGCGATAGGCAGGGAATGAGAAACGGAATGAGCCCGAGAAAAGCCATCCCATATGGTTTCCTTTGAGAGAATCTAGATTAATTCCCTCATTTCCTACTGAGCACCAGTAAGAAACGGTCGGAAGGGGAAGATGAGGTGCACGGGGTTGTTCCAAAAAATGGGAGGGAGGGGGGGAAGCCTCCAAATTGGCCCTGGAAGAACTGGGGGAGTTTTGTTGGTTTTCGACACTGTTGGTGTCCGAAATGTTTGGGGAGCCTCTATAAGAAGGCATTTGGGCTTCCTTTTAATTACTAAGTGTCCCCCAATAAAAATCACTGAATTTGGCTTTGCAGTACCCCACATCCCCATTCTAATCATTTAGGCCCCTATAGAGCTTTCACATTCAACCCCTCATGGGGCCTTCGAGGGACAATGGAGCACGCTGAGAACCCGAGCGCCATCCCGTGAGTTACTTTTCTTGTTTCCTCATTTGGCCAAAGCGAATCGACCTCTTTCGCCTAATGATTTCCCCCAGCGGATCCCTATAATATATTAACCAGCCGTTGTCCTTTTGGCTTTTAACGGGTGACCTACTGAATCACTGGGTTAGTCATGGACCCGAAAGCTCAGTCAGGTTTTTTTGGGCCCAAACTGGGCAGCTGAGCTTCAGATTTCGCAGCTGTAGCTTGGGGAAGGCGTCAGCTGAGCATTTTTTATGCGAAGGAAGTGCGGGCTTGGATGGGTGTTTTCGATTTGGATTGGAACCGGTTCCTGACTCTTGTGGATGGAAAACCATCCCGTTTCATCTCCAAACCACCAAGTAGAGGGAAGCTAATGGTAGTTGTTCCCTTGATCTTCCTTCACAAAATCCTTTCAGCCAGTAGGTTGACTTGTAGGGTATCCAAGTCAGACCCACGGTAGCAATTATCCGGATGGTTGGAAGTCACAATCGGCGTTTGCTGAAAGGGCGGGCACAGCGATCGCATCCATAGCCCAGCAGAGATCTGCGAAACAAATCCACCGATGATGGGTTGTGGGTTGGCCCAGACACCTAGTGGGTTACGAGCCATTTATCAGCTTTGTTTTGGAGGGCTGGGCCTTTTAGAATCAACCACCAAAGCAAGGAGTGCCATATTTTCCTGGTCTGGAAAGTTGCGGGTTGCCCTGAAGGCCAAGCCACCCAAAAAAGGACCCAACAAAAAGGACACGCCCTATCCTTGGGAAAACCTTTGCATGAGAGACCTGTGTGGGGTTGTTTTTTGACGGTAACCCTTTTTGGTTGGTTTTAAAAGGGAGTCAAAAAGCAGCCAATCATTTTGGGGGGGGGTCCGATTCCTAAAAAGCCCGCCACGCCCATTTGATGCATTTGTGGGCAGCCTTCTCCGAGAAGCCATGAGATTTGGAGACTGTTCCTGGCTTAGATGTGCAAACCGTGGTTGAAACTTACAGTCGGCCAAGTTAGTAAGTTCTCTCGTTCAGTGGGGTTGACAACTTGTTGTTAGGGTTATACCCCACGTGGCCAACAACCAGCGAACTTGGTCGAACATCCAAGTAGATTGCCCCCTCCCCTTTGTCTCACTTTCTTGTTTTTGCACAAAACGCCGTGGAATCTTGGAATCCAAGTTGGTTTCCGCCCAACTCCCCACCATGTTTTGGTGTACAACGTAGTATGAGGACATGAGGGCATACCCCATTTTTGAGTAGCTTCAGCTTGCGGATAAGCACGGATTAACCCATTGTTTAACCCATCTTTGCTTGAAAAACGGGGACAAGATAAGATGTGGTAGCAAGGGTTCCATGACCCAGCAGGTTTAAGAACAATACTTGGCTTACTAAATGTTGACCCAAATATTCCCTGGATTATTAAACCGGGGGTGGATGCCCCTAAAAAAGTGATGATTCGCTAAACCCAGGGGTCCCCCTATTAATAAACGGGTTGAGTAATCCGGGCATCCTTCATTGACTTGATTGATTGATTGATTGATTGATTGATTGACTGATTGATTGCCCCAACCAAAGGTGGAAAATCCCTCCTTTACCTGCGGTTGCTGGTGGGGGTTGTCCCAATCGGTTTGGGGGGGCAACGGCTCTCTGAATCCAGGGCTGCGCTGGCCAGAGGAGAGGCGGTCTTCGAATCGGACTTCGAATCGGACTGGGATCGGAGGGAGCCCCAACATATTCCTTCTCAAGGACATGTATTCGGGAGGAGTCGGGCGAAAACCCCCTGTAAAGCGACACAAAACAAACTCCAGAGATACTCCGACTTTGCACCTTTTAATTCCGGAGATGGCTCATCTCGTTTAATATCTTCTCAGGTACCCTCCCACCAATTGACACGGCCGGATCAGATCCGGCCTTCGGGGAACCGGTCCTGGATGGCCGAAAGGCACCCGTGAGGTTCCGTGTTGATCGGTATCAGGTAGCCTTTGGATTAGTGGTTGGATTGGTGGCACTGGGGATTTGAACCCCGGCCAAATCCTTTAAGCTTGGATGTTCGTTCGGCCAGTTTGCAAGTAGCCAGCTGTGGTGAACCCCCCCCTCAATATCATGCAAGGTTAACCCCACTTGGGAGACTTGTACGCGGGTCAAAACCGATCGGTGGGAACTGGGGAGTTGAACCCGTTCCCATTCCCGTTCTCGTTGTCTCATTCCCCTTCCCATTCCCCATCCCGTTCCTGGTGCTTGGATGTTCGTTGCTAACTTAGTGTCTGTGGTGATCGCCACTTGGGGTTTGTCACCCCCTAGTAACAAGTTGTTAGCCCATTCGGGACTGATACGTGGATTATAACAGAGCGGCTACCAACTTACTCACTTGGCGAATCGAACACCCAAGTATCTTTGTCCAACTTGCCCAAAGCGAATCGGCCGAACCTGACCTGTTGATTTTCCCATGTTGGGGCATTCTTCGTTTAGGTCCCAAAAGGCTAACCGTTTATGGCTTCCAGGCCCTTTGGGTAAGCGAGTATGGTTTTTGTGAAGCTTACTGCATGGGCAGCTCGTCTCTTTTAGGAATCGGACCACAAAATGGTGAGTGTCCTTTTGGTTTCACTTTAAAACCACAAAAAGACGAGCCCTCCGCATGGTTGTGAGATATTTAGCCTTGACTATCTGCCATGGTCCACTCAAAAATGGGGACTCCCCCCATTGTTTTAGGTTTAGCTTGCCGCCGCTCATGAATGTCAACGCAATTCCTTTGATGCGAGCCCAAACGTCCGAGATTGAAGCTTTACATGGGGCACTTGCAGACGGTCTTCGTGGACGAGTTCCGAGATTGTGACAAGGTCTGCCTCGCGCGTCTGATAGCAGAAGCTGCTTCTTGGCACTGCGAAAACTCGCTGGCACCCCGTTTCAGCAAGGATGAAGATGGGGGCTAAACCTGATCAAGCGGGCACACGTCCGTTTGTCTTGAGCCTGGAGATTCATTCTCCATAAATTTCCTAGTAGTTCTCGTCTTTAACTTGCTTTTCCTGAATATCGAGGCTTTTTTTCGTGAAGTCGCCTACCTAAAACTATATATGTACGTGAGATCTCAGAATTGGTCCCTTTTAACGATCCCCCCCCCCCCTCCCGCCGCCGAAATTACCCGCAAACCGCAAAAGCCTGCGAAACCCCGCAAACTCCCGCAAAGTAGAAAGAGACGTTTTTTGGGTTCGGGGGTCGCCCAAAACTCGTAGAAACCATTTAGAACGCCCAACACGCCCAAAACTACCAGGAAACCAAAACGGCTGGGAAAAGGCCGGAGAATGAATCTTCAGGAAGTGTCCTGCTCTTTTGCAGCTCCGCAACGGAGTCGTTGCGCCTTCCTGACAAACCGTGCACCGGTCTCTTCCAGTTGCTTAGGTGTTTTTTTTGCTGTGCCTTGTTGCTTTTGTGGAATCGATGACTGTACGTTTAGTGTTTCCAGGGGACTCCAGCATTTAGAGAACAGTGTTTTAATGGGAAGCCAAAGGCCACGCGCTCCCATGCGTTTTGCGCTTCGCGAGAGGCGCCGAAAGCCCCCAAGTGGCGCAAGGATGAGGCGATCGGCCATCGGCCCGTCGGATTTTTCCCCGTGGATGGCATTCGCGGTGCATACGTATCCTGGTGCCAAGTTGCCACATGGATGCGTCTTTTCTTGGGGAAATCAAAAGGACAGCTTCCCTAATTTTGAGAGAAACCCCCCACTCTGGCGTGATTTGTTTCACATTGATGTATGCGTGCATGTGTTGATTGGTTTCGGGTTGAAGTATTGCTTTGTGGATATGCATGAGTCCAACGAAGAGGGTCCTTGGTGTTCAAGGGAAGTTAACTGGAGACCAGGTTTACATGGTGGATATGCCAATACTCATACTAATGCAAATATACCAGTCCATGTGCCGGCTCGTGGTACACGCTTGTCTCGCCGGTGGTACTTGCTTGACTCTCTGGCAAGTCATACGATCTCTAGTCCACTGACGCAAAGCAACAGGTCTCCGTATCTTGTCAAATCAGAAAGGGTTCACCGACTGGCGCCCAAACAATTGCCGCTCTCCCATCACTGTTTTCTGTCAGCGGGAAACGCACTTCGTAAGCCCCACCTGTGCAGAAAAAACAACGACACTCACGCACGCAGAAAGGTGTAGCTGCTTGCTTCTTTCCCACGGTGGCAGAAATCAGGGAGAAAGTGCCCTTTTCGAACCCGGAAGGCCCCCCCGACACCTTTTGGTCCTTTTTTGGGGGGTTGCCCGGAATTTCAACAGGTGGTTTGGATGGGTTTCGATTTTGATTTGAAGGTTGGGTACATGGGAAGCCTCCCATCCTGAATTCTGTGTGCATTGAAGCATATTTAAACTCTACTGAAATGTTGTTTTTCCTTATTTGGAAAGGTATTCCTATTCGAATTCTGATTAAACATAGAAGTTACGGTGAGTTCTGGTTTAGAAGACCCCAAAGGTTTCGGGCCCCCAGCTCAGCACTCCCCATGTCTTGTAGGAAAACTGATTCGGGCGTTCTGTTTTGGACAAGTCACCCGAAATGTCCCCAGTTCGGGAACTTTTTTGGCTTGGCGGGAACCACTCGATCTAAAGTGGCGGCTGGGTGATTCCTAGAGGAACAGGGAAAAGCCGTTTTTTGGCCCAGCGGGCTTGTGATCGCCCAACCGGGAGACTGTTCGACGCCCGTGAAATGGGAAAGCCTGAGTTCCGCAAAATGGTGGGGAACCACCCGGACGATGGGCGTGACGAGCAAAAATTAAGAGGCAGAAAAACCGCTGGTGGTCCGATTTCGGGAAATCCGATTCCTATGTTTGAGCCACCCGGTGCCGTTCGGTGCGGCGGCAACCTCTGGCTGGAATTGAATTGACCAATTTTGCTGCTGGGCCAGGTCTTTCCCCTGATCCCCTCCGAAGACGCGACCAAGGAGATGTTGACCAAGTTCTTGGGGAGGCGATCGGTCGCCCGTTGCCAAATCCTTCCTGGCTAAGCCATTTGGTATGTTTTAGGGTAGGCTCAAAATGGGTCTGGCCTGTCTGTTCAGCGCACCCCTTTGGTGCTCTTCAAGGCACCGAAGCCTGTTATAAAAAGGTCCACCCAATGAAGCAGATTCCGACTACGCACCCCAGGGCCAAAAACAAAATCCGGCCGCGGAGCCGTTTTCGAGTCGGCCGTGTGAAAGTTCCGAAGAGGAAGCCGAGGAAGCCCAGGTCTTGCGGCTGAACACAGCGACCGACGTTTAGCGACCCACGTTTTTGCAAGAACTCCCTGAGCGTCGCGAAAGGACGGAGTGCCACTGTAGGGGTTTGGGCCATTTTCGCGCTAGGCAGAAACTTGGGTACTTGTTTTTGGCCCATCGAGTTGGTGTATTCGGATCTTCCAGCCGAAGAATGTGTTGTTCTGAGGGCCCTTTCTGGCCATACTCTGTCAGGGAACGGTTGGTTCTATCCGAATGTGTTGTTCAATCCGAACAGATCGTCTTCAATGTTCTGCTTAAATCAATTGAGCATGTACTAACAATACACACTGTCACACCATGATCACGTCTTTGTGCCTGTCATTTTATATTACTTCATGTCCTGTTGGGAGCTGTTTGAAGTTGGTTAGTTCTGTTACACACCTCAGCACTAAAACTAGCTCAAAAATACATCAGCCTGGGTGGACTTTATGTGTGGCGATCCTCGCCCGTCGTTTTGCGATAGTTTGGAGTTGGTTTGCTAGGCGCCGGCCGTTCCAGGCTGGTCTTGTCTTGAGCTGTTCTTTTTTGAGATCTGGTTTTCAGCGGCGCATGCCTCTTCATCGATCCCGGACTGATTTCCTAGATGGGTGTGTCTTTCTTAAGGGTACCCTTCTTGTTGGTGTTAAAGGGAAGCCAGAAGGAATGCACATGTGTTGCCTGTATTTATTTGGGGGGGGAGTTCCGATTCCAAAAAATGACATGCCCATGTGATGTTTATTTTGAGTGCAACGTTTCATGGCACCTGCCCAAGCTTCTGAATGAGAGGCTCCTTTGTCACTACTCCGGATGCTGCGGGCCTTGTTGTTTGCACCCCAAGAAGGGATGGATGTTTTTTGTGCAGCCGATTCGGGAAACCGAGCCGTTCTCAATGTCTTTTGCTTTTGGGACTCTGGGCTCGCCTACATAGATCTCACTTCCCGAGCGCCTGGACTTTATGCTTGTTGTGGAGATCGGTTTCGCGGCAAACAAACAGCTTGGACTTTTTCGGCCAATCCACTCAGGGAGTGCATGGTTGTTGTTGGGAAGCATTTTGCTTATTTTTGCTTATTGTGGTTTAGTCGTTGAAATCCTCACTTAACTCCTAAAACTTGATTTTTTGCTCCCCTTCCAACGTCGCATTATTTTTCAGAGGTTTCTCCCGCGCAGGCCGCCGACACTGGGCGTGCTGGGCGATTACGCGCCTTGGACTTCAAGGTCCCAACAGCCCCCCCCCCCCCCCATTGCAGCAAGTGTTCATGGCCAAGTTAAGTGATCGCCACTCGGGTTTGCTATGTGTCCTGGCAACCAAAACCTTCAGGGTTTTGAGCGCGAGGGCGATTTGGGTTCATACCCTTAGATATTTAGACTTGGTCACAGCAAGCAAGGGTTTGTTGTTTCGGCGCTCTCTTGGTTGAAAGGAAAGCCAATGTGAAAACACACACACACACACACCCACGCACGCACGCGCGCGCGCGCCCCGCAAATCAGGTCCCCCATGGAGGATGTAGCTTGGCGCTAGGTGTAGCTCACTTTGCCCTTTTGCTCCTTGAGTTGCCCTCATACCCCTGTCCCCCTTCCTGATTAACCCGGAAACAGCTTTGGGGGGAGAAAGGTCTGGCCTGCTTTTCGTTCAGGCTTGTCTTCTTTGAGGGCACCCTTTTTGGCATGGCTTCTTTCAGAGCCAACCGGACTCACTAGGCATTTTGGGCGGTGCTCCTGTGCCAACATTGTTTCAAGCCACCGCCCATGCGCGCTCCGAGGCAATCAAGAGCATCTTCGCGGTGGTCGCGCCCATCTACGACCTTTGCACCTTGACCTTGGGCACCGGCCTGCACCGCGACCGCCTCTTCTTCTCGGACCAAGAGGCGCGCGCATGCCGGGAAAAACGAGTGAGACACTCGAGCTGCAGCCAAAACGCGCGCGGGGAAAAACAGAGAGAAAAAAAGGAGAAAAAAAAACACGAGTTGTTGTTGTTTTTTTCCTTTTGCGGACTCTTGATGCTTGGGAAGGATCGTTGGAGGTTTGGTTTGGTCCATCTGAGGAATCAACACAGACCCCAGATAGCAAGAAGTCCATTGTATCACAAAAACGCTCCCAACGAACGTTGCTCCGCGCCTGGCAAGAAAAAGCTGTGGCTTGCGCTCCTGGTGACGCGGACATGTGCGCGCGAACGTGTCGCTGTGCGCACGTCGCACACTGCCGAAGCATGGAAACAGATGTCTGTTCACAAAAACACTTGCACACTCAAAACAGACATGCGTGCACACACGGCAAGCAGACTCAGCGTGAATAACATGTGCTTACGCTTGGTACGGACATGCTTGTTTGTTTGTGTACACTCGGATCACACAACTGCACACGCGCGGACCGCACTTGACACGAGTATACACTGACACACACACACACACACACACACACGCACGCACGCACGCACGCACGCACGCACGCACGCACGCACGCATGCACGCCCGTGCGCGGTGTGCTCGCGCCCACATGCGCACACGCGCACGCACGCACGCACGCACGCAGACCCTGAGGTCCTCTGACTCTAACATTTTGACCCGCATGTTTTTGATGAAAGGAGCAATCCATGTCATTTTCAAGATTCGAATGCAAGATGTTTTTTTTGTTCTTGGAGGACATTCAACCTGCGCGCATCAAGCACACACACACACACACCAAGCCATGGGCAACCTGGCCCGCCGCTCAGATGGCTGCCATCAAAGCCGCGGCCACGCCTACCCAAGTGGCGCCGGGGCAGGACAACTGGGCGCCCTGCCTGAATTCAAACGACCAGGGGCAGCGGACTCTCCAAAAGTGGCAGTTTCAAGAAAAACCACTAAAAACAGTGCTTGAAAGTGAGGTTCGCTTGAAAGTCAACCGCCGAACAAGTGGTTTTGAACGGGGGGTTCCCTTTCAAGTCAATCATTAAAAATATGTTTGAAAGGGTGGTCCCTTTAAGTCAACCACCCAAAAAGATGGTTTTGAGAGGCGGGGCTTCGTTTAAAGTCAAGCACAAGACACCTCAAGTTGGGTGTTTCTTGGATTAGGAATCGGACCCCTGCTTGGATGGTTTGAAACAGAAACCCTGGAGGGGTCGCCAATTTTGAGCAACTCTCAACTGTGTCCACCACACCTCATCCCCCTCCCAAAAAGAAGCACCTCCCTCAACAAAACACACATGTATCCCGAAAATCTTGTAAGCTCTTGCAAGTCTCCCGTGCATGTGGGGTTCACCTTATTAGGGGGTGAAACAAATAGCAAGCGGCGATCACAGACACGAACTTGGCGGACATCCAAGAAGGGTTTCTGGAGCCGCAGGGACCCCCTCCCAACCCCCCAATTCGCGCTTGCCAGGGGGTGAAAAACCCCAAGCGCTCGGCACTGACACCAACTTGGCAAAGCACATCCAAGTACCCTCAAACAAACACAAACCCAGTGCTTCCATCCGGTTCGGCGCTGTAACCAGACTACGTCCCCCAGTAGTGCCCTTTACCCTTTTTTGGGGGACGGTTCCACTACTAAAATAGACTACAGAAAAAAGCAACGGTACCCTTATTCTAGCCTCTCTACTGGAGGACCTAGCAGACAAATCCATCCATGGTAAAACCTAGAGGACACGGCCACCCTAAGCCGAAAATCCATGCCACCCGGGCTAAGGTCACCACCCAGGAAGCCTTCACCGCCTACCTGCTCTACACCTTGGGCCATGAGCTCCTGTCCGGGATCTCAGCCGTTCGCTCGGGGACCGTTCGCTCGGGCCCCAGAAAAGGCGGTCAAAGGAGAAAACCCCAACTGGCCCACCACAGAAAAAAGAAAACGCAACCATCGCCCCTCTTGGGGCTTGAAGTGACTTTGTTGTTTTGTGGTGTTCTTTGTTTAAAAAAACAAGAAGACATTTGCAGCGGGTTGCTTCCGGTGTTGGGGGGGGAGGTCTTTTGCAATGTGGCGGAACTAGAACCCCGTTTTGCCCATGGGCACTGCGAGTTTGGGCTTAAGATTCGAGTGGCTGAGCTTTTAACTTTTTGTGGCCGGACCTTTCTTCAAGCGGTTACCTTTGACTTCAACCGCTTGGTTGAAGCTACTTGGTGGTTCCCAGCCATACGGTCCCTTAGCTTTTTGGAGCCTTTTAGTGTTTAGTGGTTGGATTTCCCTTTAACCCACGAAAAGTGAAACTTTGAGCGGGGGATCTGAGGACAGCCCAGTTAATATTTGACCGTTTGGTTTGGGCAAACACCCTAATGCCCGAAATCGTCCTTTGCACGCCCGATTCGGGGGGAAAGCTCACCCGAATTTGCTCCGACGAAAATCGCCTTCAACCTTTCATACTCAACTCGTTGGTTGCTTTTTACCTGTCTGGTTGAAGCATTCATCTTGAACCTGGTTGAATTTGTAATTGTTGGGATTTGGGCAAAGAGGAGTCTCGTCAAGGATGAGGTGCCCCGGTTCAGGTTGTGGGTAGCCTGAGCTTGGCTTATTGGGAAACACCCCAGCTGTTTATTTTCGGATTACGCCCGAGGTAGACTTGAACCAGAGGTAGTTGCAATTCCCAAGAACGGAGAACCCCCCCCCCCGGCGTTTGAGTTTTGCTTGGGGCAATTAAAAGATGGAACCCCGGACCCAAGGGAAGGTTCCCCTTTGGCAGAGATCCGGATCACAATTGGGCTAACACCCTATTTATCCATCAAACACAAACATCGGAGGCGTTGCAAGCCCGAAATCCTCCTTTGCACGCCCAATCGCTGACGAACATCGCCTTTGCTTTCCAGAGGGTGCTGTACAACCCGCAGGCCTTCAGTTCTTGCCCTTCGAGCTTCTTGTTTGGGTGGATTTCTAGTGAAGTCAACCAGGGTTCCCACTGTTCGCCCTTTTTTGGGGGAACCCTCCGGATTTCCGGAGGGAGCAATTTCTCGTAAACATCAACCAACCCAACAAACTCATGTGTTTGTTCGCGTGAAATTTACTTGAGGGCTACAGAGGATGCGTGACAGCCGGTTTTAGCCGTAGAGCTTCCGGCCTTTTGGCCGCCATCCCTGGAAGCAAGGAAGCACCGCGCACGGGACCCTTGATGAATAACGGGGTTCAAGGATCAGGGGTCGACATTCGGCCCTGATGAATCCTTAGCTTCGTTTGCTTTGGGCGGGGTTGATGGAAGAAGAGGAAGGTATGCTTGTTTGGTTGGGAACCCCGACAGCAATGGGCGATGGCCCACTTTTGTTCCCAAAGTTCCACCAAAATTCGACATGTTCCACCGTCCCACTTTATCTTCCTTGGTTCGGCGACCAAAAGAAGCACGAAATGCGACTTCAGTTGTACACGGCAAACGGGGACGGGAAACTGTCCACCACCAAACCGCACACCCAAACCTCCAATGGAACACTAACACTGGTGTTGTCTTCTATTTCGCGAGCTGCTGCCCGACCCGTCGGGAGTCAGGGCCCGTTGACTCCCCCAAAGTCGTCACGCCATGCGATGCTCTCGAGTGGTTTTGCTCCGTTGCTCGAGGCCAGCTGAGTCCTCTGGCGACGGCAAGGTGGTCTTCTTCCTGGACCGAAGTTGAAAAGTTGGACTTCGTTGAATTGCTTCCATTTGGTTAAGAATATTTGTTATTTTCCCCTGTTGGTTTCAAAGGGAATCTATCACTACTGTTTTTTGTTTAAATTACTTTTCCCCGGGGACTTACGCAAATGGAGGAGTGGGGTCGCTACTGTGAATCATGTGTTTCCTCACTCAAAAACGCGAAGCAACCGGTTCTTGAGTCGGCTTGGCTGAAGCAATGGCCCGTCCGAAAACGGAGATCCGTGTCGCCGGGCCCGATAGGCAGATTGGCAGCTGAAGCTGTTTGCTGAGTTTCCTTTTTTTTGGTTGGAAGGGGTGTGATCACCCCTTGTGGATTTGAACCGGTCACTGGGTTGAGGCTTTGTTTGGGGTTTACCACAAGCTCCTCCACTCCAAACCACACGGCTCGGCTCATGGCCAATTGGGAAGCTGAGTAAAGCCGCAGTCTCAACAGGGCTCCTTAAAAGATACATGTTGCCCATTTGAAGCATGGCTTTTCCCACCAAAACAATGGGAAACCACCATTTAAGAGTTGCAATGTTCAGGTGTATTTCATGCATCCGGATCCCTGCTCAACTCCGAAAGTGATTGAGAGCCTCGCAAGAGCTGCTCGATCTCAGCCCAAAGCCAAGCGCTTTGGTCGACAGGTGTCCACAAGGTCTGTGCTTAGAATAGAGTTGGCCAAAGCGCCGGTTAAGCGAAGCAAAGCAAAGACCAGAACAGGGACCTCGGATCCTCATCCGTTCGGACCGCTGCAAAAGAACGCATGTGTCTTGCTAGTTGGGAGAGAGATTTGACGAAGGACCAAAAAAATTGGTAAGCCGAGTCTGGCGCTGGGAAGATGCCCTCCCACCCATCAGCATGGAACCGTTGGCGGTCCGTGAAGCCAAGCTCCCGGCCCAGCGGAAGGCACCTCCCTTGGCCCAAAAAGGCGAATGTCCGGGCGGCGGTGCAGCCGGGACTCTCAGGACGCATCTCGGAGATCGACCAAAAGGATGGCCCTGGAAGGGTGCAGTCTAGAAAGATGGGAAAGCTGTACCCACTTGACAGGACCCACGCTGCTCATGTTTGCGAGGCTCTCTTCCCCGGCGTTTGTGGAGGGATGGGCTCCATACCACAGCTGGGCCCAGTGCGAGAATTGTGGACTCATGCTGGGAAATCTTTGACCCGCGACCAGAAGACGGCAGCGCCAGCCTAATGCCCTGCTGCCGCGGCGCCCGGAAGACCCGGAGTTCCGAGGAGCCGCTGGGCTTGAGCGAGGAGGCGGCCAGGGCGCTGAGTCCTTTAGAGGTTGACGCAGGCTTTGAGCAGCGCGCAAAGCACGGCACAGGCTACCGCGCGCACGCGGCCATGATGAGGTTCGATTGTTACAGGTCGGCCATTCTCAACCGCTTCGACATCTGGGAATCCATGGCCGGGCCCTCACAGTTCGCTTTGTGATCGGGCACCAAAAATGCAAAAGAGCAGCAAAGCACCTGTGTTTCCAAGTTGCCTTTCCGGGGCCTTTGGAGTCACACCAAAGAAACCATGGTTGAAACCACAACGTTTCTGGCATTTACCAGCAAAATCGCCATTCCCTTGGGTTTTTGTTGGGTGGTGCGAAATGATTTTCGCGGTATGTTCGAGGGTACAGGTACCTACTTGTTTTCTAAAGCTGGAAAGAGAAACTGTCCAAAAGGGGATACCATCCGCGGTCCCCAAGCGAGCGCTCGAGCTGGGGGCTGGCCAGGACGCTCGGAAGAGCGCGGGGCTTCCTGCAGACCAGTGGGAAGCTCAGAGAGCTCACCCCTCACCGTTTTTGGAGGCTTCCAGCCATGCCCGACTGAGTTTAGAGCCCCATGTCACACACCTACAAAAGGACGCCCAAGAGGCTAAGCAGGGTCTTCCCCCAACAAGCCAGGCATCCCCGGTTCGGAAGTTGTGCGGGGACTTGAGTCACTTTTTGTGAAGACGAATTTAGCGGCAACCCTTTTTTTGGCCAATCCACTCGGAAAGTGAGATCCGCTTAGACTTGAGCTTAGAGTCTAATGTTGACCCCAGATTAACAAACGCCGGCTAATTAACAGGGTGTTCCCCTGCAATAGTGATGAATCCCCACTGAACCACTAGTAATTCAGTGGAGTTTATCAATCCGCGGTTCTCATAGATGTGTAGGGGATCAGCGAACAAGTCGGATTACTCTAATCGGCCCAGATTCTGGAGGTTCCCAAAAGGAGATGCCTGGCGTGTAATCGAGGACCGTGCAAGAGGGGTTCTTTCAGGGAGAACTGAATCAGTATGGTCCGGATGAATTTCCGAAGTTCCCGTATGGAAGCCTGGATTCGTAGACGATTGGTGTCCCATCTTAGAGCAGAGTACTCGAGCAGGTAGCGCATCAGAGCGGTGGTTTGCTGTGGATTTTCGCCTTATCTTGGACTATCATCATTTGATGAATGGGAAAAGGCATAGACAATCGTAGCCAGATCCATTTGCTGACGTGCCTTCACAAGGCCCTGGGGTGAAACCCCGGCTAAAAGAATGGTTGACCCAGTTTCGATGATGACAATCCTTGCGAACCCTATTGTTTCAATGCTGGTTTCCCCTGGGGACTGATGGAAAAGCACTCTAAGAGTATCCAGGTTTAAAAGGTCGGGGTCAAAATTCTAGCAGTTGACTTGGTACGGAAAATTCCCCATTGGTTTCAAGCCGGGCACGGATGGATTGGAGGGCCTGTTCAACAGGGGGATATTTGTTCAAATCCGTCAAAACTACACTGGTTCTTTTGTTGGTGAGGTTTTCGAGCCTTCTGATTTTTGAGAACTCACGGGTGCGCCTTTTTTTTTTGAGAAAATCCCCCTAAAATGGTTGCTTTTAAAATAAGAATATGCTTGTTCGTGGCACCGGAATACAGACCAGTTGGTTTGCAAGAACTCGGAGATCCTGCTGAAATCCTACCAGCCCCGGACAAAACTTGATAGAAAATAGCTGGAGCCTCAAAGTAGCCTTTAGCATGGGCTATTGCCCCAGAAGTTGGGGGGTAGCAGTTTGAGCGTTCAGGTCTCCACCTAACGCTGAGTCCTTCATTTTGGGGAGGACATCACCAGCCCGCGCCATTCTGCCCCGAGCGGTTCTCAAGTGTACCGATTCGCTGAAGGGCTTTCCCCATGCGAGGAGCTCTCCCCCGGGAGTTCTTCCATTCGCTTAGGAGTAGTTTTTGTTAGTTTCCCCTTTTGGTCATAAAAGGGACTCGATTTCACTGGACATATTTTCTCATTTCCAGGGCAAATGGAGGAGTTGGTTCCATCGAAGAGCGAGGCTCATGGGCAATGGCCTGGTGGTGATGGTGACCAAGGCCTCAAGTCGGCCGGAGCCAACCTTTTGGCTTTCCCGTTCTGATCCGGGCGTATGTACAAAGCAGACCCTGAGTTGGTCCTCTCAAAATACGTTGCGGCGTGGCTTGTTTTTTTGGGATATCCCCTCTTTGTTGTGGCTTTTAACGGGACAGCAGCAAGGAAACCCACATTTTTTAGAGTCCCCTAAGAAAAGACACCCCCATTTCTTCTTTTGCAACTAATTAGCTTAAATCGCGAAATAAGTGTGTTAGCAAGAGATGCCGACCGCAAAAAGGATTTGGTCCGGTTTCGCAGAGATTTCATGTAGCCACCCCCCTACAAGAAAGTGGCCATTTCTATTTTGGTCCTTAGAGTGTGGTTCCCTTGGTTATCTAGTCTTCAAGTACATGCAATCAGGATTAAACAACACCCCCCTACAAGAAGCTTACTGCTGCTGGTTCAATTAATGGGATAATAACGGGTGCTAGCACCTTCCAATGGCTACCAAATGGTACCGAAAGTGCTCTTACATTATATATTATACACAGATTTGGGTGGGAGCCAAACTCAAGACCGCCCTTGGAAGGTAAGCTTTTTGTCAATGCCAAACCTCTAAGCTCACGTGTCCTCACTAGATAGCCCTGGTACATGGAAAAAACACCCATCTGAACCAGTGCCATTTGTTTCTAAGCCAACTCACCTGAAAAGGACACCTGTGCAGGGCAAAACCTTTGGAACCTTGACAGGAGTGACGCAGAGACTGGCAGCCAGGTTTGTGACCATTCTAGGGGTTGATTCCCCATTCTTTTCAGCCATCGTTCTTCTCAAAAACCAGCTGGTTTCCCCAGGGTGTCGGGTGGTTTTGTAGAAAGAAAGATCTCTGGAAAGAATGGTTGGAAGGTACCCCTAGAATCTCGGCTTTTCCCTGAAGCCACTTGGCTGTGGTTGTGAAAACCAATGGGATCCCATTTTGGTTGGTAGGTGAAAATTCACCACCCAAACTTTTAGGTTACCTATTTTAGTGGTTGGATTGGGATCACTGGGGGCTAACCGATTTGGATGTTGACCATTCGCAAGAGACACAATTTTGCGCAGGTGCCAAAGTTCATGAGCCTCTCCTTGCCGGCGCCTCAAAGTTGCCTTCAGTCCGCTCAGGTGAGTTCCGTTTCCGCGTTGTGGGAAGGCCATGTTTCTGGTTCGCCATACGGTTCCTTAGCTTTTTAGATCCTTTTAGTGGTTAGTATCTCCATTGAACCCACTACAAGTTAAACTTGTAGCGGGGATCTGAGGACAGCCCAGGTTTGAAGGACCGACTTTGGGTTACTAGGAATGGTCATGAAGAAGCACGAAATGGATTTTGAAGTGAACCATGACCATGGCACACGTGTTGATGGCGGCACCAAAACATGTACGGAGCTAGTGGCTCCTTTTGGGGAGAGGGGAAAAGCCGGTGGCTAAAGGCGAAAATGTAACCAACCTGTGACATCGGCACTTCCTTGTTTTAGACGGCATGCCGCATATCTTGAGCTGCAGGGAAACCCAAGAACCGACCGGGCCCATTTCGCTTGGTACCCAACAGCCAGTGGATATAGACACTCTTCACCATTTGGCCATGGGTCAAAACCCCGTACCCCCAGTCAACATCCCAATCCCGGTGGTGCACCTGCCCCAAAATGGTACCATTAGTGTTGACCCACGGCCATTTGGGTGTCTCGCAAGGCAGCGGCAGTACGCTGCTTCTTTGGTACCCTTGCAACTTCTTCTCGGATGAGCGGGCAATTTGGAATGATCTTCGCAGAGATCTTATGCCTGTGCCCTTGGCGGTACACAAGAACTTCCATTTGCTTAGGCATATACATATATATATATATATATGCGTACTATGTATATGTTTTATTTATTTCCCCTGTTGGTTTTAAAGGGAATCGCTTTCACTACTGGCAATATATATATATATATACATTTGTTTATATTTTTTCCAGGGAGCTTAAGCAAATGGAAGATAGTGTTAGAGGAAGGCGGAAAGCAACGGAAAGCGACAGGAAATTGTTTCTTGGGTTTCATATGGTTTAGACAACCAGCAGGAGATGAATTCGCAGGTAGAAACCAGGGAGGCACATGAGATGTCTGGCATAGACAACAACCACACCCTCCTGAATCTAATGCAAACCCAGGATTAAAAAAGACAGCGCTTGGTTGATGAATATAGGTTACCCCATGAAAGTTTTGAGAGCCCAATGCCCGAAAACCCGATGACCAGAGAGCCCAAGGTGTTTATAAGCCTTCAGGCCAACCTTACGACCAAACTTGACTTTGGTGCATTTTAGTAGAATGTTAAGACTGTAACTGTTTGCCAAATAATGGGTTTTTCATCAAGCCACTAAAAGTTAAACTTTCAGCAGGGGAGCAGAAAGCAACCGAGCTGAGCCACGTGCTTCAAACCGATTCGGGTGAAGGTTAGAGATCCCCTTGCCGTAAATGGGCGCGGGCGCCGGCGGACGATCCTTCCGATCGGTGCTGACTCGGTGGGTCTCTGGTCCTGAGGGGCAGAGGGTACGCGCGCCGATCGCGTCTCAAGATCCGATCCATGGAAGTCCCAAAATGAGAATGCCCAAGAGAAAGCTTCCAGAGGAAATCCTGAGGCCATAGAATGGATGCCTCTACCTGTGTAGGAAGCCAACCTCCTTTGAGGTACGAAGCTTGGAATACCCCCCCCCCACCCTACCTCCAACCCCGCAATTCCACCAAAACCCAAGTCCACTCCCTCCCACCCCGTAGCTTGAGATGCCCGTTCGGCTTCTGTCGCAAACTTCAAAAAAAACATCGCCAGCCTTCAGCCTTCAGCCTTCAGCCACCTGGGGGTTCCACATTCCTTCATATCACCCCCATCCCTCCCGTGCCGACGGCCATCGCTTCATGGCGCCGCAGCTGCCGGCGGCGGCAGTTGGCACAGGCGACGGTTCGAAGGACAAGAAGCTGCGGTTCGAGGCGGCGTCCGCGGCGCGACAGCATCCCTATAAGGACTGGGTGATCGATCGACCACTGGGATAGAGAGCCGGGAGGGGGAGCCCTTGGGTCAGAATGTGTTTGGCGGTTTCTGGTTTGTTGTTTTGTCTTCCTGATGTGTTTCTTGTTTTTTGTTGGTTGTTTTGTTGTTCTTGTTGGTTGGGGGAGATCAAAGTCGGAAACTGTGCTCTAGTGTGTCCCTGTTAACTTAAGCGTCGAATCATGGGACGACATTTCGGTTGAGCACCATTGGCATGTGCTTCGAGCGCTCTTAGTGTTGGTTCTGTTCACTTTTAGCGAGCTTCGAAAGGCATAGCTGCTTGCTCACATGCCAAGTGGCTTAAGCATGGGTGGTTTGAAGTTGGTACCCCCCGCCTTTTGTTGTTTTAAAGGAGAACCAAAAGAACACCCACCGTGTTGGGCGGGTCTAACCTACAAACAAGACGAGCCTCCCACATGTTTAAACCTCGGGGTGGCATAAAATGAGATCCTTGGCTAGTTGGGTTGCCTGTGTTGGGTTAGAAAAAGGTGGCGTTGCGGCCAAACAATAAATCCTCACCTAAATGAAGTTTACCGCTTAGATTTTATCATGTGTATATCTTATGGCTACTTGGTTGGATCTTTGGACTTTAACTTTGGGAAACAGTGGCAGCAACCAAGTATGTAGATATGTGTATTTATATATATATATATATATACATAATATGTTTACTCGTTTGTGCCACATGCTCCGTTTTGGCGCCAGCAAGTTAAAGAGGCATGGCCCTTGGTGGTCAGCAACCATGAAGAAAAGTCACTGACCGGGGACGTTTTTTCGAGCAGGACCTCAGTTTCGGGGTGTTCAAGGGCACCAATGGATCCATGTGGATGGTGGCGAGCCTTAGCCAAGCCACCTGCCAGCTGATCCTTTGGACCGTCCCTTTTGGTCCACGTGCCCGAGTTGCTGGACCCTCAACTTGTTTGTTTCTTCTTTTATTTTTTTTTTCGGAGGTGGGGCCCTGCCAAAATCCTGGTTGTCCTTTTGCTGTCCCTGAAAAAAACGCCACCGAAGAAAGGGGTACAACTTAGGTTTGGACCTTGTGGGTGGTAAACAAAGCTTCGACGCGGAAGCAGTTTCCCAAACGGACTGAGTGGGCCGCAATAGTCGCTAGGCTGCATGGCCTCCCTGCCTTTAGGGCCTAGTGAGCTTTCTTGCATGCCCGCTTTTAGCAAAGGCCCCAAACGCCGCGAAGTTTCTATTTCCGGGGGGACCAAAAGGTTGACATATTTCCGGGGCCCCGAAGGGCAAGTGAGCGGGAAGCAGAGGAGCAGCAGAAGTACATCTACGCCGATGCGGTCTGCTGCGCCCGTACCTGGCTCGGGGTCTGCGACGGCGTGTCCGGGGTGTGCCTCGGCGTCCGATCCGAGTGAGTCCGAAGCGCGAGTCCGTCGTGTCGTGTCTTTTTTAGGGGACCCCTTAAGAATTGGTGTTTTGGGTAACCCCCCAAAAAAATCGGTGAACCCCACCCCCCCAACAGGATTTTGTCGTTTGTTTGGGGAAAGCTTTAAAATTCATGTCGGTTTTCCTGTTGGACTACCCCAAAAAAATGGCATGTTCCAATGTGTCAAAATGGACCCCTTGAATAAAATAATTTGTGGCTCCCTTTAGATTCCCTGTTCAGCCATCCCAAGAAGGGTACCCTAAAACAAAACACCCACCCACCCGTGCTCACCCAAAAGGCATATTAGCCATGTTCCGGTCCCGTTCCAAAGCAAGACTTGGCGTTCAAAGGCAATCCCGTATCCTTGCCTTGCGTTGCGCAAAAAGTCCACGCTGCAATGGTTTTCCACTAGGGATTCTGGAAAAAACGGATTGGCCACTGCCTTTGGCCAAGGTGAGTAGCCATATTCTTGGAAGGGGATGCGCAGGTTTGAGTTTTCTGACGAATCCCTTGGCATCCGGGCGATTTGGGTGTGTGTGTGTGTGTGTGTGTGTGTGTGTGTGTGTGTGTGTGTGTGTGTGTGTGTGTGTGTGTGTGTGTGTGTGTGTGTGTGTGTGTGTGTGTGTGTGTGTGTGTGTGTGTGTGTGTGTGTGTGTGTGTGTGTGTGTGTGTGTGTGTGTGTGTGTGTGTGTGTGTGTGTGTGTGTGTGTGTGTGTGTGTGTGTGTGTGTGTGTGTGTGTGTGTGTGTGTGTGTGTGTGTGTGTGTGTGTGTGTGTGTGTGTGTGGTGTGTGTGTGTGTGTGTGTGTGTGTGTGTGTGTGTGTGTGTGTGTGTGTGTGTGTGTGTGTGTGTGTGTGTGTGGTGTGTGGTGTGTGTGTTGTGCGCCGTGTGTGGTGTGTTGTGTGTGTTTGGTGTGTTGTGTGTGTGGTGTGTGGTGTGTGGTGTGTGGGGTGTGTGTGTGTGGGGGTGTGTGTGTGGGGGTGTGTGTGTGGGGGTGTGTGTGTGGGGGTGTGTGTGTGGGGGTGTGTGTGTGGGGGTGTGTGTGTGGGGGTGTGTGTGTGGGGGTGTGTGTGTGGGGGTGTGTGTGTGGGGGTGTGTGTGTGGAGGTGTGTGTGTGGGGGTGTGTGTGTGGGGGTGTGTGTGTGGGGGTGTGTGTGTGGGGGTGTGTGTGTGGGGGTGTGTGTGTGGG